CCCAGCACCAAACAAATTCATCAAAAATGCCGTTTTTGCAATTTCTGAAAAAGCTGACAAACTTACTTTGAAATTCAGAGAAATTTTAACTGGCCTGTTTTAATATTGCCGTTCATAAGTAGTTCCAAAAAATGTCAAAAATTTAATTCATTTAATTCACAACTTTCTTATTGTAAAAATATTTCCAATATTTTTTATTTACATTTTTTTATTATTTTACAAACTCCTTAAAAAATTATAATATCCGCTTCTTTCCCATTTTGGATTCAAATAAAATAGAGAGTTTGCTTGTGCTTGGGTTTGAAAATCCTCTAGTCATTTTGGGAAACATAAAATTTCCATTTGGAGACCCATTCTAAAGAGCTAATTAGAAACTTCACAGCAGCGCTGCAGCAGAATTTTATAGATACCATTATCATACTTAGATAGTGATTATAACAGCAAACAAACGCATTAGCCAAACTCTTGAATACATGCTGCAGCCTCTAACTTTTGACGGTGAATGCCGCAGTTACACGGCGAATTACGGCAAATAAATTGTTTCAAACTTTATATCGCATTTTCTTCTTTTAGTTCTATGTGTCGAGATTATTCGAACAAGCAGCGCTAATTAGTATAAATGAGCAAAACCGAACCGAATAAACTGATATATCCCGACAGAAGAGCCAAGCCGTTAACGGTGGACTTCCTATGAAAGGGCCGAAACGATTTATCATAATTTTAAAACTGCGGACCGCGAGTGCCGGGCCTTAATTTAGAGATTGTGTCAAGACTAATTATTAAGTCCGGTGATAAGTCATTGCTTCAGGACTCCCCAGCCAGGAAACCCCTGAACTTTAGACAACTCCATTCCATTTTACCCAGTGAGCGGGTTAAATTAAGCTGTGCTGTGTTCAAACAATCAAAAGATGTCTATATAAGAACCAACTTGTTTTGCAGGTTTTGATTTCGGATAATGGGGTGCCACCACTTTCATCCACCACTCGAGTGGTGATAAAAGTCGATGACATCAACGATAATTCCCCGGAATTTGTAGAACAGGCTTTTTACACCGTCACCATTCCAGCAACTGGCAACTACGATCGTGCCATGTTTCAAGTAAGTAAAACAGCTCAGAAACGACTCAAAAACGATGAAATGTTAATGCCCGTTTCGTTGGTGGTAAATCAGAAATGCCCCCAAAACAACTGCATTACCTATCCTAAACACGGCTCAATTCTAATTTGGCAAACAGCAAATTCTGGGCCGTGTCGCCGCCACAGCCATTTCACGCTATAATGTTATTAATTATATTAATTAAGCCTCGAACCCATTGCGAATTCCGGGCTTGGTTTTCCCTAGTTTCAACAATTTCCACTCTATGTTTAAAAGGTAATAACAGTGTGCCGCGTCCAATGCGTGACACAAATCTGCATTCGAGTTTTGCTTGTCGTTTATTTAGTTCTTTCTACGTGATCTAAGAATTAATACAGTGTGCCCCAAACCTAGTGGGCAATAAAATTCACTCCATATCAACTTTGTTGAAACAACTGACTTTAATATTACTTTAATTCATTTCTCTTAATAAATTCTCTAGTCTTCTATCTCTTCCATCATTATTCCTCCCGCTGGTTTTCGGTCAACGCGTATAAAGTAAAACGCTTTAATAGTTTATGTATAAACAAAATGCGTTCAACATGAACAATCGACTGAATTGTTAACTCTGTTTTTTGTGAAACCGCCGTTTGTTTTTGAACAATACAACTTGTAAATTTTTTGAGTTTCTATGCACTTTGCAAAATGTAATCCATTTAAACAGTATTTTTCTGCAGTAAAAATTTTTTTAGGTACGCACGTCGGTTCTCCAATCGCTGGCTGATTAAAATACATTTCATGCCAAGATAGTTTGGTAGTTCGCAATCGGACATATTTACGACTGAATTTAAACCATTTCGGATCAAAATAATTCAAAAAGTTGAGGAAAAGTATTGAATGTGAAAAAAACATTTCAACTTGCACCACAGCAAAATTAATGTTAATTGTAAAATAATGAGAAATTTTCATTGAAATCGCTGAATGTTGATTTTTGGCTGCTGTTTAAGTGCGAGTCTAAAAATTAATGTTTCCAGCCAGACGCGCTCTCCGTAAAAAAATCGTAACTTCTAAACGGGGGCAAGTGCGAACCTGAAAATTTTCCTTAACATAGTGAACGTTTGTATCTTAGAACTGAGGAATTTTCACTGAGATCGCACTGAATGTTGATCTTTTGCTGCTGTTTAAGCGCGAGTCTAAAAATAAAACTTTGCAGCCAAAGACGCGTTCTCTGTAAAAAAATCGTAACTTCTAAACGGGTCAAGCACGAACCTGAAAATTTTCCTTAACATAGTGAACGTTTGTATCTTAGAACTGAGAAATTTTCATTGAAATCGCACTGAATGATGATTTTTGGCTGCTGTTTAAGCGCGAGTCTAAAAATTTAAGTTTCCAGCCGAAAACGCGCTCTCTGTAAAAAAATCGTAACTTCCAAACGGGGGCAAGTGTGAACCTGAAAATTTTCCTTAACATAGTGAACGTTTGTATCATTGAGATCGCACTGCTGAATTTTACCATCCATTTCTTGTACTTAGACTGTGAGACAGACTAGCAATAAAGAAAATAATAGATTGAAACGTCCTCAAGTTTTCATGTAGTAAACCGCTTAGCATCTGCATCTTTAGATTAAACCAACTTGATCGAAGAGGTTTGGATAACGGGATAAAAACGACACAAGTAGAAGCGGTTGCCGAAGATCCGCAAGTAGCTTCGTAATTGTTAGGGAACAATAAATTTAGGGTCAATCCAAATGCATTTTGACACGAAAAAGACTTTCCTCTCAGATCCACTCAGGCAAGTGCCATTTGTTCAACAATGTCTACTTTCGCATGTGTAAGTCGCACCTATTTGGAGAAATTTCGTTTCTCTACACTCAACACAACTCCGGATTGGAATAAACACTCGAAAACCTCACTGCTTACGAGTTAAAAATGTTTGCTCAAAGATGAACATGCTGCGACCTATTTAGTCATATGGGTGTGTGTACATTTTCTTAGAACGATGCCCGAGGATACTTGGTGGACGATTTTGATGGGGCAGATGCGGCGGTTGAACTTGAACCCTGGGAAAGTTATGGTCCCGCTGATTTCGAAGGGCTGGAACCAGCCCTACGGGTAAGATTACTATGCATGCGGCATGCCTCCAACTACTTCGCTATCTTCAGCTTCCCCTAGTTGGAAAAAACTATTACGCTTCAACTGCTCTGTAAAACACCTTTCTATCCAGCACATGCATGCCACATATTGAACAGACTAATATGGTTGGAACAGACGCAAACTCTAGATTTATTTTAAAGCCAACATTTACTAGATTCAAGGGGCTTTCAATTTAAAACTCCTTTGTAGTGGTAGAATGAGAATAAGAATATAAATGCGCCCAGTCAAGTCGTGGTAAAACTACATCGATCTTAGGCTTTCTGGTGACTCAAGACGCGACTCGTTGCCTTAAATAAGGGGGAAGCGGGCTAATCCAGAATAATTAGGATACTTTCGGGTCCTCCAGCCAGAACCCACGCAACATTCGTCACGATGCAAAAGTCCCAAGAGAAAACGTTACAGTTCGCAAGATTTTGAACAACTTTTAACAGCCCAATATTCTATAATTCTGGAATCCTCAAACCAATTTTCAATCAAATCAACTCCAACTACCTGATGAGTGGATTTCGCCCTGTATATCGGAAACTCACAACTCCATGGCGAGTTAGTTACGAGCGTCAGCAAAAGAATCATTACCCCAGTTGACGGTATAAAATCGTGTGAAGTTCCACACCGTTTTCGAGTCCTCCTGGGAGTTGCCGTCCATGGCCTTTCGCCGGCCAGGGAGTTTCCTTGTGCATTTACAGAAGCTCCTCTTTTTGCAGTTGTTTTGGAACTTCCCTGATAAATTCAGCTATGTAATAAACGCTATTTAACGAATACTTTCTGGAGAAAAAACAGTTTTTTTGCATCGAAATGTAGCTCGTATCCTAAGCAAACTGAACAAAAACCGTGCCACTGCGGCTTTCAAAGTAGAAATATCCTGTTTTTATCAGTGAATGTTTGAAGTGCAAAGGGCTGAGGGTTGGCTTTGCCCGCATGCGAACCCCGTCTGATACAAGTGGCCAAAAGGGATGATTTTAATCCTTTTGGTTAGCGATAATAATGCGCAATATTGAGGGTCACATATTTCTTCCATGTGAAGCAAATGAAGTTACAGTGAAATTGAGTTTCATAATCCGCGGATTCAAAGGGTCGGATTGCGGTTAGTTATCAGCAGTATCCAGATACAATTTGAACGGATTAAGTCCAACTTACGAGCAAATTTAATGGATTGGCTTTACAGAAAACATTTATGCTACTGACGTGCTTTGTCAGCACAATGAACTAAGCACAAAAGTTTCAAAGAGTATTCATAATTTAAATATCCCTGTTCAGAAGGCCGGATAATATTCTTATAAAAACGATGTTGGGCGGCTCACAACCGCCGCTTTCTCATGCAATTCTTTGCACAAAAATAAGTCTGCAGCCCGACAATGCACCAAACCATACCAGCTGGGAGTTTTTTTTTTATTAAAACGGAACAAAATCTTCATGAAATAGCCGGCATTCCCTTTGAGACACAAATACGGGCTGTTTCCGTATCATAATACCGGCCGGTTATTTAATTAATTTTATTTTTGCCCTTTTCATTAAAAGATTAATGTAGGTATAGAGCGAATGCACCTAAAAACTTACGCTGGAGCTCTTTTAAACCTCGATATTGTTAACCATTAATTTCTATTCAGGTTCTGGCCTACGACAAAGACATCGGCCCTAATGCGGATATTCACTATCAAATCAAGTCGTTCAAATCAAAGGGACGTTCCAATTTCAAAATCGACAGGGCTTCCGGATTGTTGTACGCTCAGAAGAAATTCGACCCCGGATATGAATTCGAATTGAATGTAAGTGTGTTGAAGCAATGTGGCAGCAAGTTCTGTTCAAAAAGCTCTGATATTTCCAGATAAAAGCAACGGACGGTGGAACGCATGCTAAGAGCAGCATCTGCAAGGTTTTGGTGAAAATAGTTCCAGTTCCTTTGACTTCCAAACATCCACCAGTCGTCACAACTCCTTCTCCAGTTAAATTGACTGAAGGAGATCAAATCGGCTTTCTGGTCGGTTTGATTCAAGCTTCGGATGAAGACAATGACACGCTTTGGTATGATATTGTCGGTAAGTGCGTATTGTGGTACGTTTGCTGCATCATGCGTTTTTCCAGCAAATGATTATTATTAGCTGGAAATGATCTTGGGACGTCGACATAAAGATCAATGGAAATTAAACTCTCTTATGCGGCGAAAATCGATATCTCATTGAAAAGCCTAACGAGTTTTGATGACGCTTTGGGAAATTTTATGCAACATTTCAGAATCCTTTGAATAGAGAGCACGTTCCAGGAATTTAATATGACTATAAAGAGGGACGTTTTCTCGCAACTATCCACCTTACAGGGGAACCGAGTTCCGCTCTGGTGAACTTAATTTACGTGTTTTCCTCCTAATCAACGAAATCTAAAGACGACATTTTCAGCTTTAGACGTCGTTTAAAAAGTCAATCCAGCCGAAACACTGTGGCACAATAAGTCAGTTTTCGCCGAAGCAAAACCATTAATCGATTTACTTGTTCAAACTGTTGAATATTGGCTCAAGCCCTAAAAAGCGGGATTTTAATGAAAGTGAAAAAGTTCGAAACGAACAATAGGTTCATTGTTTGTGAAATCTGGAGCCTAATTAAGATTTTTCGCATTATTTTCCTTTCAGATCGATGCCAATGGGATTCAGGTCCAATAAAAAGCCTTTATGCTTGTTTTATGAAGGCCCTTTATATTCATCAATCGATCTTTTAATTAAGGTCTCGGAATCCTGTTGCCCGAGAAACTTTCACGCCACCCACCAATAAAAGGGCTTTGTCTGATTCTGTTTTGCCTCATGGTCCGTAGTTCCGACGCCATTAAACAGCAAAAAAACTTAATTTACGAGTCGGAAAAACCTAAGTTTGTTGTAAGTTTAAACGATTTGGTTTGGGGTCGAGTTTTAAATGCATCGCAGCCAGCAAATAAGAACATTTCTAACTACTTTTTGTTGTTTCCGTTCCCTCGATTTTGTCCACTAAAGCTGTTCTATCTGATTGTAGATTTTCCGATTAACTTCAGGTTTTCCTTCGCCAAAACTCGTCATTTACTCATTAATAATATCTATTGTCTGTTACATACTAGCGTGTCTCAATTAAGCGATCTTTCCGAAGCTGTTGGAGCATCTGCCTAATTGAAATTCGGCTAATAATGTATTTAGAATGATGACTCGTTGCTTTCATTCGGAACTAATTATGATTGCTCCCAACTGTATTGATTACCAATCAACCGAGTGTGAGATTGGTGATTAAGCCTTCATTCCCATGTTGAAATCTGTCGTTTTTCCAATTAATAACCAATCTAAAGGGAATTAAAGCATCCTACTACTACTTTTTCTGCCGTCGAGTTGAGCGGAGCCGATGTCGGACCTTTAATCAATACAGGACCTTTCGTCGATTAACTCTGAAATCTCTTATGTTTTACCAGCGAAACGAACTTGAAAACATTGCAGCTAAATTGTCAGCATTAAATTATCGTTAGCAAAATGTCACGTTTTTTATTCGCTCTTTTACAGATGGCGATGATCGGCAGGATTTTTACATTGGCAGAGATATGGGCAACATTCTTTTGGCTCACAAGCTTGACCATGAGCGGCAAAGTGAATACACCCTTAATATCAGCGTTACGGACACTGTTCATACGGTGTATGTGCAGTTGAATGTCACAGTCATTGATATCAACGATCATAGGTAAGATTAAGGGTGATTTTGAGAACAAATGGAACTCCATGGAACAGTTCAATTCGCCAAGAAAAACCACAAATTCGTCCGGCGAAAATATCGAATAGCAATCAGTCCGGAAGTGAGTGATTTCGAAGATAGAATGAGTCGAAAGTTCAAATTGGTTTAGGTGTTTTCAGAATCAAATTAAGGCAATTTTTTGTTTAGACAATTTTACATCTTTGAGTACGGCAAAAATTGGCCAAAATTTCAATTATGCACCTACACGGAAACCATACCGATCGATAGACTAAGATTTAAGATTTAAGCCTCTTTAATGTTATAGATAAATTATGGGAAATAGTTTCTTTAGTGACTCAGAAACGTGTCGCAACCAATTTATAGTTGGGGGACTTTTGAGGTGAAAAACTGAAGTCTGCGTTATTTTCACAATAAAATGTAAAAAGTCTCAGATGCGGTACTTTACACTTATATATAAAAAACTTATTTTTTCAGTCACATTGTATTTTAATTTTAAACGTTTTTTTAAATGTTCGCACGTATTTCACCTGAAATAAAAGTGTGCCTACCTGGTAACCGATTATTCCAACAGTCACTTTTCAAACATCTGAGTTTCAAAAAATGTTTAGAAACATAACAACAGGAAGTTAAATCTAATGTATAGAACCGAAACTAACCCAAAGCGACCCAAACTAACCAAAACAAACCCAAAACTATCTCATACAAACCATTTGCTTGGATTTGCTTGAGTTTGTTTAGCCCAAATGAACTAAATTAAACCCCAACAAACGTACATCATACCCAAGTAAAAGCTCTAAATTGAACTCTTCAATCTAGTCTATGAAATTAGAAAAATTATCGTCGTTTTGTGCAAAGATGGCGTAATAAGGCGTGTGCCAAAATTTAATGTTTTCCGTCCGGTTTTTGCTCATATCTCGGAGGCAAAATGAGCAAGAACGCTCATTTGTACATCATTCTAGGCATAATTAAATTGCCTTTTTAGAAAGTGAACCATGGATGGGGAAATGTTGGCAGTTTTCTCAAAAAATGCTTGAATTCAAGAAGTTTTAGATTTGCGTGATTTTTTT